CTCACGTTTCCGTGCACATTGTTTTAGCTTCAACCTACGCCACGCCGCTGGCTAGGCGAGTAGGCCAGAGTGTGATAAATAGAAATAAGTAAACGAGATTAACCATGGTCCTCTATGATCGGTTCTCTTGGCACCACCGAACTGCTGTCCGGCGTTGTGCTGTCGGATTCGTCGATTCGGATCAACCGTATATCCAATATAACATCGATTCTGAATTTGATAATTCCTCATTTGACGCAAAACTTAAAATCCATCAGAATGTAAATTTAATGTACTTATTCACAAAATCACTGTCCGTCTAGACCTACGCTAACCGTAAATCATCTAATGCGCATCCAATTCAACGATTCAACAAACAATCAAATTCTAACTGATTTTTGAGCAAAAAGCATTTCACTGATACAATCAACACTACATATACAACACGGAATGATCAATGCCCAACCTGCGGCCTAAGAACATTTTTTTGTATGGCAGCTCGCAGAGTGTAGCTATTTATGCCTATTCGTATCTACTGCAATATTTCGGAATTTTTGTACTCATCGTCAGATTTCAACCGGAGCAATAAATGTTCAGTGCGCTATGCAGTTATTTTGGACTCTTCGAAGCCATCCGTGAATCAGCACGGAGGTTGACTATGTCAAATGCGCGTGACAGATTTCATCTTCGACTGAGGATTTATTATAATTCATCTGATATTCACCTTGAAATATTTATTGGGACTTCGACTGATCAAGCAATACACTCCGAAAAATTCATCAGCAACTTTTGGCGGAGCCAATGCACGACGTCCACGACGTTTCTTCAAAAGGCCATCATCGCGGGCACGTTCCGGTTCAGGGATTTGCTGTGTTGATGCGCACTGCTGCGAATCTGAGTCATTTTCATGGTTATCATCTGCGCTATCGTTTGTTTCGATCGGTTGTGATAGAGAATATCGATGTTCCGATGTTTTTTTGCCAGCATTCGATCCTTGACTACTGATATTTCTAAAAGAAAACATTTGAATTGCAACGACCTGTTCCGATTTTGTCTTCTTCACTTGAAGATTATTGGAACCAAGAAAAAACTCCATTTCTATAGTGCTCCAATGAGGAATTTTTCCGATTTTTATCAGCAATTTTCTGTGATCGCAGTTACTTGCATGGTAAAAGCTTCTGCTGATTAAGAGTTTCTGGTTGTTCCTTTATGATTCAAATGGCACAACACGTTACTAACTGTTGGACTGATATTCCATGATTTTAATGAGTAACAAATAGAACTGAACAACCGTGAACGTTTACTAATCACGATTTTTAGAGGATATTTTAAAGGAACGAAATCGGAATCAAGTAATGTTATAGTTCAGGTTGGTAAAATCACAACGGCATTTCGCTCGTGCGAACATTTCTTGCTGTGCTCTAACAATAAGTAACATATTCGACTGCGAATGTGAAC